GTTGGCTGTCTCACCTAGTCGACCTTATTTGTCGTAGCGTCTAAACGTGGTTGTTTTGTTGGCAATTTTCACGGGATATTCTGAATTACGAAGGTATTCGAAGAGTAAGACTACATGACTGCTGCGGCCCAACGGGACGCCGATGATCACACCCTCGACCACACTACCAATATTTCAGTTTTCAGTGGAGATTCCTGTGTCGAAGCTATGCAGCTCTCATTGATTGTACAAATTCACGATTAGCTGTGGTGACAGCTATATTGGGCGCATTACTAGTAATCTGCGTGCTCGGATCAATGAACACATTCCAACGTGACTGCACAAACAGATGGCAAATGCGACGATCACGCACGCTGCTTAGAGTAGCAATTGCTAACCATCGTTGTAAAGTTGCCTCCGCAATTACGAGACATTCGACGAGCACCAGTCACCAAGTGAACCCAGATAAGCCATTCACAGTTTACATGCGCAGTCAAACATCTCATATACTCAAAGTACACTAGTTTATTGTAATCCATCGACAGCGCACGACGCTGTGTCCAAAAGCAGCTGACGGTAACATTATGCCTACCGTGGTGGCGTGCAACGCACCAATCGGATAGTAGAGGATCTAGAATTGATTTCATGTGACCTTGTCTTTTTGTATTGAAGCTGACGAAAAAGCATAAAATGACAAAGTCCTCCGGTATTCTTCGTCTGCTCACATACTGATTCGTCATTAGTTATTCGTTTGCGATCATCCGCTCCCGTATCGAAGGCTTTTCTTTCTCTTGGAATCAGGTGGGAGCGTTGATGTGGGGGTAACTGGAGACAAACGCTTGTAGATTGCCCTTAAAACCTTCTTTGTAAGCTGCTTACTATTCCAAGACGTGCATGATGAATTCTCCAGTAATGAGTATGTGACTGTTACTAGTGTTTATCACCCCACTTATTGCGGATGCCAGCTGGATATCCAGCTCGGGCGAGGAGGAATGAGGGCGATAAATTACCGACACTATGCAAGTGACGTTGCATTTACACGTAGATGGCATTTAAGCGAATCATGTACCATGATGACCGGATCTTTCATGAGCTCACATTGGAGGTCTTTGCGGTATAAAGAGCCATCCCTCCACCTATGCTGCGTCCGTCGTGCCGAATTAGACGTGCGTGGCAGTGCGATCTCAATTTAACTTATGTCAGGCATTACCATGTCTACGTTATATTGATAACATCACAGGCGGCCGCATTTCGGAAAATTTTCTCAGTAACCCTTGAGTGTTGGTGTACATACAGAAAGCTTCTCGGATGTTAAAAGCTGTTGACTAGGAGCACATGAATGCTGTTATCCTTTGCCGACCGATCAGAGGCTGGCACCCAATCGTTTTTTGGGTAAATTGCCAAAGTTCGATTTTAATGCAATCCGTTTTCGATCTCTCTTGCACTTGCGGTATGTAGTCCATCAGCAGGCTCCTCGATAGCTAAGGATATTAGCGCACAGGTTTCTGTATCGCCGTTGTGGTTATAGGGAGTCCCGGGTGGTGTCGTTTCCGCGAGAACAGCGATTGTCTGTTGCTCTCTAACTGCTGTCTTCAGTCGCAGTTCCGAGAGAAGTGTGTTGCGTAGCAACTGCCAGCTGTGGATCAGCTTCACGGCTATTTGTTGTGAATGCACCGTTAGTTTCCGTATTCTCGGGCTACCGCCTTGGTAAATTGGCGACACTGGTAATCCTGTAATCGACTGAAGTATGATTTCTCTCGCACAGAAAACTTCACCGATGTAACACCATTCTTCTAGGTCATGAGCGTAGGCTTCTTCGTTGCTGGTTGTCGATAGCTCGGCCCCGCTATGAAAGAAAGTAATTTCTTTTGCTACTCTCCGTGTGGCGGTCGTTTGAAATATTTCTGTACCGCCGGCTTTCGCTCCATGGCACATCGGGAAATATGCATATTCCACTGTTTACGATCCTTAGGCGGTATGCCGACCAACGCACCGTCTCGACATAATCTATTTATCCCAATGTTACCCGCATTTGCCGGGACTCCTTACATAGATTCGAGGTTGGATGTCTAGTGATTTTCATTATATTAGTCGGAGTGACTTAAACACCGATTTTGTCACATAGGAAATTCCATTAATTTAAATCATTCAGCTGTTTACTCAGTAAAGAATTCGCTTCGGACTCAGGAAGCCTGTTGATTCTAAGCGTCAAGGCTCTAGTCCAGCCTGGTGTTCGGTGATGTGGGAAGCACGGTCAGCGAGGGATTAATGACGTCTCTGCAGTTTGCATCTGGTCCTTGTCCCATCTATTGACTGTATTCGTTGAGACTACCGACGGTTGCACTTGGATAATAGCGAACAGCAAATGTGGGATAGGTGGATAGGTCTTTGGAGCGCTTCTGACTTCCTTGGTCAAAAGGAAGTGTGGGAGATACTGATGGTTTATCAGTATTTACATTGGCTTAGAGGATATGGGCGATGGGGCTCGGCACGCTCCTATCGGTCGCGATGACGACTTGGTTCGTGGTTCCTAAGGATTTTACTACTGCGTGGCTGTATGAGCGCCTAGTACTTTTCTTTGGTTTCTGGGTCACCATTGAGGGAAACGGACGGGGTGCAGGATGTGCTATTTTCGTCTCGAGCGAAGCAATTTTTTACATTCAAAAGATCTTCAGATTGTCAACTAGGCTATCGTCGTTTTGTCTTAACGCTAATGAGCATGTTACTAGTGGAATTGTAGTGCATTTTGAACAGAACTACAGTGATCCTGGCGTATTGTATTTGAATATCTCAGTTTTACATACGTTGGCGCATTCAAATGGTACCGGTACTCGCGATGTGTACAAGTCAACCCTCCCTTGACTAACGTAGCACTAGGTTGATCTGCACAAACAGCATGGAGGCATGATCGCTACGGCCAGGCGGCGCGTCTATGCTATTGGTATGGATCAGTATAGATCAGTCATTCCTCGTTGGTAAGCACATGTTCTAAGAGAGGTGATCCGAACCAGAAAGGAGCGACCGTATGAAAACAGCACCAATCGTCTCATGGCTGACGATGAGCAATGATCCATTACCAGGGGGGTACATGGGAGGGCAGTAAACTATTACCATTGAACACAAAGTAACACGTTTTAGGTGCAAACGGCACCCAAGAGAATCGACAACTATTATGGCTGGATCGTCGATGATCGCGACGCAGGTTAGATGGGTAATAAAATAGCACCATGCGTCCGCAGCTGTGTCAATCACTTCATGGCATAATAATGCTGAGCGGGGCTAACTCAACACCCGTGATTCCCCTATGCAACATTATTTAGTTCTATGGAGAATAGAACGATTATATTTTAATGAACATGCCCCAAAAGAGTGGAGAACAGTCGAGTACGAAGCTCAAGCAGTTTGCTGAGAAGGCGCTGCATGATTTTCATGTCGGTATCTATGCCGGCCATTGTGGAATCAGCCAGTAATCGTACCTGGATGCTTCATAGAAACGTCTTGCAAATACGGCCCGTTTCAGTCCAAAAACGACAGATTCAATGAGAGTGTTCCACCGGTGAGATACATGAATCAGATAGGAATCTGTGCGGAACTCCAGGTGGCTGTATTGTTTTATCATTTTTCATACGTGGCCTCTGAATTTGTCTTATGGTTGAGTTGCAGCACGACGCCGCACATATGATATGGATGGCGCGTAATGAAGTATACCATGACAAGTTATCTTGTAATTGGCGACACATACCGTTAAGTAAAACCTAGCATATACGCCATTGTTCCTATGGTAAATTGCACAGTAAAATGAAGTATTTGGAAGCCCCACTATGAGGCTGCTTCAGTGCACTGAGGTCCTGCTTCAATCGTGGATACCAAGCTTGAATTGCGTATCCGATATGTGGACAAACATTAAGCTTTTTTCGGAAATTGAGATGTCTATTTGTCGGAACATCCAGCTCAAAAGACCGACATGCTGGTGAGGAGATTTTAATGCCTTTGTTGAATGCCTGGCGCAGTTCAGGTCATCCTAAGTCAACACGTCCAGGTCGAGCGTGACGGAAGATCCCTGCAATAAGTGCGTATTGAGCCTGTAGGATTAAGTGCAATGGTGTCACACAGAATTTTCCTTTTGTTTCCTAATGCAGAACTCCAGCAGGTGTTGTGTTCACCACTGGAGTTCTATAATCGGGTCACACAGCTCAGCAGGTTCTGCTTTAATAACGCTCCCTGCCATGGTTCTGATATGGTTGTTATATGATTTGCTACGCTGATTCAATGTAAGGAGATGAAATAATTGATTAAGATTTTGTGCTTAAGGATGTGTGTTATTACCAGTACTTAAAATCGGAAATACGGAGACGGAATCAAACTTGGGTGCTGTGGCATCAACAGCCACGCAAATGAGGTGCGTGTAAATCACTACAACTACAACGAGTCCCAGACACCAAGGAATATGTTTTATTTTGCGCTTAAATCCGTATTACTGGAAGTTGAGCAGCCGTTATCAAATTGGAGCGTATGAAAGTTAGTAGACAAACCCGCATTTTTATTTAAACAACACTGCAATAATCCAAGCGTGTGTCAGTTCCAAATATTGTGGTGTCCAACAGAGCGTGCTTGTAAGAAAACCTACGCGACACGGCTCCCAGTCGCTGGTTGCATCTGAGAATATATTCACCACTTCCGCTAATTCACATGGTAAACGATGAGAAAAGCGAGATCTCTCGGTCGACCCTTGACATGGCTTGTATTTCATGACACAATTAGTGGTCATCACGCCAGGAACTGCTCCTAATACTACTTCAGTGGAAACGCAGAGCGTGTGATTTTTTCTGGGATGGTACCCGTCTTCATCATGTGAACTCATGGTGCTGCTCTACAAGTGCATCACAACTGTCTGGACTGTGAGAAATATCGGTCGCCCAGTAGCCATATATATACACGCAGCAATTACAAACGACCATCAGTTCAATATACTATTTATCATGTCTAAGTCTGTGCTGTCGTGCTGTGTGGTGTTACTTTTCATGACTTCCGTTGCGGTTGTGAATGGTGAGTGGTCAACTAACATATTGGTGCCCTGTCCATCGCAATGGAGCGGCGTGCATTTGATCATGACCCCTTCCTATGTTTCAGCGAATTGGCTTGATGATATGCATGCAAATCACCGCTGGCCTGCTGCACATGGAGTCGATGGACGTGAACAATTCCCACCGTACAGAGATAGAGGGAATCGGGATGCTGATGCCCCTTTTGCGAAGGTAGATCTATTTCTGCGTGTCGCTTTTTGTTACCGTATTCTCTCATGATAATTGTGTGATGAAGACTTGGCTGTTAACTCTCCTATTGCACGCCTCGCACCTTCAGAAAACAGCTTATGGGCGAGTTCTCATGACATACATCCGCGTCTGTATTGAACTCCAATCCTACGAATCGACATACGTACGGGTATGCTGTCCGAATGTGATATTCTTGGCACTCAATCCTAACTGGTTGATGGTAACCTTTCCCTAGAGTAACAATTCATTACCCTCAGGTTTTAATGTAAATATATTAGTACCTTGGGTTTACGTCGTGAAATCTTGCGACCCAATCCTACCTATTGCAATGAAAAATCCTGCACTGCAGTGTTTGAATGGTTGTGCCATAGCCTAATTTGTTTGCAGATTTTGCGATTCTGTCACCGTCTCTCATGGGTTAGTCGCAAAAATTGCTGCCTAACGCAATTCCTAATGAAGCAGTCGGATGCACATACCTGAGTATCTCGAATTGGGCGAAAGTCAGTCTGTTGCTTTCCGGATTGCTTGACGAACTTTCCGGTTTATGATATACTGGGGTGAATTAGCAAAATAATAAACATACAATCCTCTTATTCATTACGAATTCCATGTAGACAGATTCATATTTTGTAATTGACACATTTCACGATAGAATTGCAATTGCTACTGACACATGGTAACATCATTCGCGAAAGCGACGAGGTAAATGGCCATTGGATGGAGATAGATGGAGCCCTGCTGACGGTTCCTTTTATGATAATGTAAGCCAATTTATTGCATTCCATTCATTAACCCCCACTCACTCAATGTATTTAGGTGTGGAGGAGTTGGCAGCTTACCCCTTTTCATGACACGCCTTGCACGTTCAGCAAATAATGTGTGTGTTGGTTCACATGTCACATGTTTTCAGTGGACTCTAATCCTACGGTTTATGACAGTCGGTCAAAATCCTTCATGGCTCAGTGGAATAATCGACTGACTAGGGGCGCATGATGCTAGCTTTCATGGGTTAGTTCCTGATGAAACGATTACTTAAATGTGGCAGATATTGTCCAGGGTATTTCTGATTGGTATTTCAACCACACGTTTGTGAGATTCTGTGACACATAATTGGGAATTCGATCAAAATCCCTTCCATATAGGAATATTGTTATGTTTCTTAGTTCTTGATTTCGTCGCTGACGCTGTGATAATGGCTTTGCGATGGCCGCTAATGCATATTCAAGCTTTTCGACTAAAGCTGCATAACAATTTAAACCAATTATTAGCCTGGTTGCATGCGGTGTCTTCTTTTGCTTACTAAACAGATTCGGTATAGAAATGAGTAAGCTTTTCAGTTCATCATGTCTGGGGCATTTACAGTCAAACGGATAACCGGAAGTTAGCATCATTTTGCTAGAACTACATTGTGTGCTTAATTTCAAACTAATGAATCCTTATCCCCTCAACCGATTAATGTACTTTCCGTTCTACGCTTAACAGAGAGCATGGATGCCATCACTGCGGTTACACCCAATCAATCGCACGAAGTAACATTTGAGCTGTCAGTTTGGATTCATCCTCGGATAACTTCGACGTACTTAAATAATGCGGGTTAATTTTGTTTATGTACATTGATAAATACATTTCATACGGAATTCCTGTTTCATGACTTCTCCTACCACTTGACTGGCGTTATGCACTTTCCATAATGCTTACCGTGGAACCATCGTTAAACTGTTCAGACGGAAATTTGAAGATTACCGTTGCGTTGTGCACAATAGTTTCAGATTTCTTCTTGCTTTCATGTCAAACGAACGGCAAAACATGGATCTGCGCTCTCATAATGAATCGCACAGCGAACATCGCGCACACATACATTCCACAAAGCATCATAACATTGATTGGACCCTTATCCATCATGGATTATTGTATCTACCGTAATCGACGGATAATATTAATCATTACAACCAATGTGTTAGTAGAGTAAATTGTGATTGCAAAAAGTATTTTCCACACTTCCACAAGCAACAATAAACATATGGAAGCAAGTGTAGATTATTTCATATCAGTGTAAACGGTTACATTCTAAACGCAAACCTCGTTGCGACTGTTTGACATGGTGTATTTATGAGCTAAAGATGGTTACTGAATGGGCAAATGTTAAATTGGTAAAGACATTTGTTAGAAAGGCATTATAATTGAACGATTGAACAATTAAATGCTTACAATTCCCGTAGGATCATCAGATTGGGAACCACCACCACAGGAAAATAAAAAAATTGCTAAAATAAAAAGCGTTTTCGTGGATTCATTGCAGTGTTCACACGGGGTTATGCAGCAAAGAGCCGCTTAAAGTTGTGTAGGTCAGTTCAGGATATAGCTCGACATTTAAATGGGTTAAAGCAACGTCAAACACATTTTAGACGCACGCAAATTGGGGGCGGAAACAACGTTATTAGGGAATGCGAGATCTTGCTTGTGCCACGACTGCCAAGCCTGGATGGCGTGTGAATTAACTAACTACGAGCAAACAGAGGGATTAAACAGCCCGAATGCTCTCCGTAGAATGTCAGCTTGTTGGTATCGAGTAGTTGACGAGTTGTTAGATTTCTCCAAACTGCCCAAATCAGCCTGGATAATAAACACTACGTTGGCGCTCCTGTGTAGTTGATTGCATGACAAGGTCTACTTGCTTGTATATGATGTTCCGCTTATAAGGAATTTGGAACAATTGACAGTTAGAAGGAATACACTTGAGCAAATTTCGGCGTGACCCTTCATACGCCATATCCTGGACTCGCTGAAATGCATCGTAATCTCCTTGGGCAGACCGTACCCACCCCGGTCTTAAGATTTTTAGAGAACAACAAGAAGTTAGTGGCACACAAACGCATATGCTCGTTAATGAACAGAAGAAATAGACGCAGCCCCAGAACTCATTCCTTTGGAAAGCCACGGCCGACGTAAATCGGACCATTTGGCGCATTTCGAAATCTAGCCCGCAATTGCCAATAATGCAGGAAATTCCAGATCCACGCAAAGACGTAATTCACAACTACATAGATTTCTGGACGCCCGCATAGCACTGTTGTATGCAAGCTAGCTCATGCATTATAAAACTGTTTGGAATAGGGCATGAATCCTTGCACGCAACAAGTACTTGGAATTTTGTCCACGTGATATTCTTCGATTTCATTACGGCTTTCGACAAGGTCAGCCATGAGGTCCTCCTTCACAAACTCAGGATGGCGATGTCGGTGGCTCCCTGCACCCGTGGATCAGCGACTTTCTCGTTGGAGGAAAGATGAGGGTACAGGTTGACGACCACCCAACTTGGATCCCACTGGTGGCATAGCTCAAGTCACTGTGTTGGAGCCAGCTCTGCTCTTTATCCATAGCGAAAACTTACCTCAGTTTCTCCGGTCACCGTCTGCTTTATTTGCAGACGAAATAAAGATTTCGAGAGAAATTAACGCTCCGGGAGTCTGTGACGTCCTTCAGCATGTTTTCAACTGCCTATGCTCATGTTCTGTGGAAGTTCATCTCCTGATCATCCCAGCCAAGTCTGTATTTATGAGTTGGGGGAATGGTGCTGACAGCAGAAGCTACACTCTTTACGACTAATCGCTACACCCCACACCATCCTTGAAGTAACTATATGTACTGATACGCTGCGTTTTGAAATCCGTGGCCAACACGAACAGGCGGTACCGTAACGGACTGCGCATGCTTTGAGCGTCAAACGTAGCTTCTACACATGGTCTGAAGAGGTTGACACTCGTGTCTTCTCTTCCATCATTAAACCAATGCTAGAATACTGTCTACCTACTTGTGTTGCCGGAGATGATGCGAGATCCCCACCCACTGTGCTTCAACGGAGAGTGGTAAATATTTCGAACAGTTTGTCTGCACATGTGATGGAGGCCACTTCTGTGCAGCAGTTCGAAACCTTGTAGGATTGACATTTTATCACTATTTGATTCAGAGAACGATTGCACATAAGATGACATCTTACATTTATGGATCCTGTTATACCACGAGTCAGATCTTTTAAATTTTACATGAGAAAGGTAAGGTTATACACAGCTGACAATTTTTATAACATTATTCATCATATTTCGCAGGAGTCGTACAGAATTCACTTCGACTATCTTTTTAAAACCGTATTCAGTATTCAGTTATCCTAATTCTGACGACAGCTGGAATTGCAATCTCTATGGCATTCCAGAGATTAACGGAGGGCAATACTGCATCAGTGACAAAGCACATTTCTTTTGACAATATCACGGCAGTAGGGCTTAATTAACTGCAATCTATATATAACTACACGTGCCGCGATTTCAAACTGCTGGGACTGTGAAAATTTTGCGAACAAATAGCATTGGTTATCAGGAAAAACGGTAAATTATATAGGCACTTTTCTGTCGAATGGAGCACGGACGGAAAGCTCTGTGGAAATATCAGTCCACATTTAGATACAAACCGAGGCACAAAACGCGGTGTACGCAAGTAATTCATCTGACTGCACTTTATAACAACCATTGAACATAGTAACATGATGTCCTGTCTTGCGGCTCCGTTGTCAAATGTCGACTGGCAAGCGCCGACACTGTCAATGAGAGTGTGGAAAAACCTGTAAATAACGAAGAATTTATGTAGGCTAAAGATTACTACCTGACAAGCTGTGTTGTTAGTCCGTGGTACTATAGAAAATCTTTAAGAAAAATGTCACTACTTTTACCGTCGAATGAATGGTGCTGTCATTTCAATGCGGTAGACATGAGCATCGCGTTAATTCACCGCACCATTAGGTGATACGCAATTAAGCCAAGGTATTTCCCTGGAGTTCGACGAAGACATATTGCTAGGAAACAAAATGTATTTGACCAAGTGCGTCTAAAACCGTCTTCTTAATACGGTCCGTTTCGGTGCAGAACTCAACGTTTCGATGAGCGCTTTCAACTGGAGACACTTGTGAAGAATAAGAAATAGACATCTAGGGAAATCCAATTGGCTGTGCTGTTTTATCATTTTCCATGTGTGACGTCTCAAGATTGTGTTGCGGCTCAGTAGCAGTACGGGCACTCACACATGACTTGGATTGTGCGTAAGTATGCAAATTAGTTTGCATATCAGGTTGTATATCAGGTTGCTTCGTAATCGGAAACACATACCGCTAAGTAAACTCCACCATATACTCCGTTATTCTTATGGTAAATTGTACAGTAAAATGATGTATGTTGAAGCCCCACCATGAGGCTGCTCCAGTGCACTGAGGTCATGCTTCATCCGTGACTACCAATTTTGAGGTACGCATCCAACATGTGAGCGAACGTTGTGCTTATGTCGGTAATAGAGATGTCTATTTTCGGAAGAAATAGCTCAACAGACCGACACGTTGATGGCCAGATTTCCATGCCTTTTCGGGATGACGGTCTCAGCTGAGGTCATCATAAGCGAGAACGTCTAGGCCGCGCGCGACGGAAGATCGTTGCAGTTCTTGCATCCTGAGCTTGTAGGATTTATTGTTATCGTGTTGCACAGAAAATTCCTTAAATTTCCTCGGGTTTAACTCCGACAGAATTGCCTTAAACACTGATGTTCCATAATTTGGTCACACGATAGCAAGTTGTACCGTAAAACCAACACCTGCCATGGTCCTGATGCGGTTGTAGTTTGATCAGTTATACTGGTGCAATGTAAGCAGATGAAACAATTGATAAAGGCTTTGAGCTTAGGATTTGTGTTACTTCCATTACTTACAATCGGAAACTCTGATACGGAATAAACGTTCGGTGCTGCGGCATCGACAATCATGCAAATGAGGTGCGTGTAAATCACTGCAAATACAACGAATCCCAGTCACCCAGAAACATGTTTTATTGCGCTTAAATCTGTATTACTAGAAGTTGAGCAGCCGTTAACAAATTGGAGCGTATGAAAGTTAGTAGACAGACCCGCTTTTCACTTGTACGATGCTGCATCAATCCAAGCGTGTATCTGTACCAAATTCAAATGTCTGATATTGTAGTATCCAACACTTTGTGCGTGTAAGAAAACGCATGCGGCACGGCTCCCAGTTGCTGTTTGCCTCTCGGAATATATTCATCACGTCCGTAAATTTTCATGATGCACGATGAGAAAAGCTAGATCTCTCGGTCGACCCTTAAGATGGCTTGTATTCCCTGACACGATTAGTGGTCATCACGCCAGCCACTGCTCCTAATACTACTTCACTGAAATCGCAGAGCATGGAAAATTTTCTTCTATGGTACTGGTCTTCGTCAAACGAACTCATGGTGTTGCGCTGCAAGTGCAGCGCAACTGCCTTTGCTGTAAGAAATATCGGTCGCCCAGTTGCCATATATATACACGCAGCAATTACAAGCGACAATCAGTGCAAGATACAATTTATTATGTCCATGTCTGTGCTGTCGTGCTCTGTCGTACTGGTTTTCATGACTTCCGTTGTGGATGGGTATGACGAGTGGTCAACTAACATATTGGTGCCCTGTCCATCGCAATGGAACGGCGTGCATTTGATCATGATC